AAAGCTTTGCCTGCTTGCTAATCAGTGTCGCTTACACCCTCCTGCGGGTCTACCCCAGCCCTAGCTCGCTCCGAGTCAAGCAGTCGGCGTGTCGTTTAGGAGCGGCGGACTTTCCCACTGAAATCCAGCCTTTGAAACCGCAAAGCCTGCAGGCTCAAAAAACACTCCAAGTCCTTGAGCCTGCAGAGAAAAATCTCGCCCAACAAGAGGGCCATCGCCAGGGACCTCGAGCGCCACCTTGCGGCACTTTTCATAATACCAAGTAGACCCTTTGTACAGGAAATGCTCGTTTTTACTTCAGTAACCAGGATCCTTCAGCAGGAAGTTAGGTGTGGTCTGTTGAAGGAGAATTAATTAAACACACACAGTGAAACATATAAACGAACCCACGACTGCTTTCCAAACGAGGAAAAGGACTGATGGCAATTTGGCTGTAATCTTCTCGGGGGTGGCGGTGAGGATCATAGTCCAGTCTGCCTGAAGTGCATGCTCTTATATGCGCAATGCACAACCTAATCGTCTGCAGCCTCAACGAAAGGCGTTCCCTTTTTTGTGTATGTGGTGTGTAGCAGTCATTGATCAGGGTCCGCTCGGTGGCGCAGAAAGCCAGTTCCTTTGCATGCCTAGCCGCCTTCTTGCCGTCGGATCGCGCCCACGGGATTATCACAAGGAATCCGAGCACGCGAAGGCAGGATCCGTGGCAGGATCGCCTGATGCACCCCAGGTGCACTGACTGGTCTGCGGTAGCTAAGCGCGACTCCCGGATGTACATCTACCTGCAGCAGGCTGTGCGCGCGTGTGCATTGATGCGCGAGGGCGCCGCTGCCGCGGGCTGCAACCCGAGAAGCCGGTGGACAGCTTCCATGCCTGTGACTTTTAGGAAAAGAAGCGGGGGGAGAAGGGTCTTTTAGGTTGTGGATTCACTGTATGTCGTCTCTTCCCTTTATTACTCTTCCAAGACATCATCTGGCACGCAAGCTGTTAAATCTTGTGCTGCTACTATGACTGGAGAATGCTGCTTCCTTATTCCGATTGTGTGTTTATCTGTTTAAGGGATGGGGGAGGGAGATTACACTTTGAGTTTAAGCTTTAATCGTCTTTTGCAGTGGATTAAAAAAAGCAGTCGATTCATAAGCACTGAAAAGAATCCGTTGTCAATTCTGGCATAATAAAATGCCTGCATTCGAAAGGAATAGGCTTACGGCTTAAGAAAGAATACGGCTTGTTTGTCCCCGCAACGTATAATTTGATAAAGGTTTCTTTTTTAGAAAAGGCAGTGTTTTCAGGCAGGACACCGCTGAATTCAAGGGCCGAAGCCAGACCGCCTGTTCTGGGAAAGTGACCTGCTCCAGGCGTCCCGCATGCTCGTCTTGAAGGCAGGAGGCGCCCCGCCCCGCCGAACCACCGAGGTGGCAGGAATGGCCTCCAGCGCTCCGCGCTAATGAGGCTCTCCCGGGGCCTTCGGAGCTGTGGAGGCAGAGGCAGCTGCAGGGAGGCAGGGAAGCCAATTCCCCCAGCCCCAGTCTCTGCTAATACTCGAACAGTTCTTTGAAAATGCCGCTTTAATTAGCTGATTCAGCATATCGGCAAACCCAGGCCTGCCAAAGTATTAATTAACAATAGACTGGCGTGTATTGAAATCTTTAAAAAAATTGCCAGATGTAAACAAGACAAGGAAAGAAAACACATTAATATTTATACAGCTAGCACTTAACAGTTACAATGCATGTCTATGAAATGTAGATATAAAAATAGCTTTCTGGGAATTATACATCAATAAAAGCAGACCGAGAGTTGAAATGCACTGCCTTGCAGAAGAATTTTGCTGTAACCTGCTTAAATAACTGCTGCAACTCCATGCCTCTAGGAGTCACATATCCTAAGCAGTGGAATGGAGAATGTGCCACATCATCTTAGATTAAATGCACCTGTTTGTTGAAGGGCCCAGGGTTTGTTGATGAACGTATCAAAAAAGCAACAAAGACCAAGGAGATACCAAAACAACTCTGAGATACGGTTTTGTCAAAGCACTAAATCAGAGTTCAAAAAAACACCCCAATTGATGAGCATCTGGTGGAACACTGTTAAATTCATTGTTATGAAATTCAAGATCCCCCAGCTGAGGGGGAAAGAGCCACAGCTGAAATGGTAGAAACAATCTATAGGATAACTGTCACCTGGACATTCTCCAAACTGGGCTTTGTGGAAGCCAGTTGAAAAGAAAGCCATTGCTGAAACAAACTCATTTCAAAGCTCATTTGCAAAAAAGCATGTGGGACATGTAGTAGACATGTGGGAAACTGTCTCCTTGGCTGATGAGACTTTTGGCCTTGCTATCAAATGCTCTGTGTGGCATAAAGCTAACAGTGTATATGGTTCTGAGAGTATCATCCTCATAGCAAGGCATGTTGTGGGGATGCTTTTGCTTGGCATGGACTGGGAAACTCAACGGGGCAAGATGGTGCCAAACACTGGGCAATTTCATTCCACAAGGGCCTCGGATTGGGGAGTTTCACTTTCCAGCAGAATGGTAACGCTAATCACACAACCAAAATGACACTGGGGTGGTTTAAAGACACTTGAATGTCTTTGAAAGGCCCAACCAAAGCTCGGGCCTCAATCCGATTCTGTGGCAAGACTTGAAAGTTGTTATTTACCGGTGGTCTCCATGCAACCTGATGGTGCTGGAGCACTTTTGCCAGGAAGAATGGGCCAACACTGCAGGGTCCAGATGCACGAAGCTGACAGCCTTTCCCAAAAAGACTTGCAGCTGAAATTGCTGCCAAAGGTGCTTCTACCAAGTACTGACCTGGGGTGGGGGGAATATTTATGCTGCCAACAAATGCCAGTTTGTTTATGTTTGTGCCACAGTAAAAAATACCTTGTGCCTTCACAGGTTTGTGTATCTGGTATACATTGGGTGGTAACAATGAAGATTTAAGCCATTTCATTTCTCAGATGTGACAAAACAGAATGTAGAAAAGTTAAAGGGAGGGGGTGAATACTTCTGCAAGGGACTCTAAATTTCCATTTGCAAGTTGGTATTAAAAGTGCTGTTAGGTCTTGGTCCATTGCATTACAAAGCACAAACTTTTAGTGTAGTGGTTAAGTGTGCAAGGCTGGGACTCAGGAGATCTGGGTTCTAGTCCCTGCTCAGCCATGGACCCAACTAGATGACTTTGGGCCAGTCACAAACTCTCAGCCCAGCCTACCTTGCCCGGTTGTTGTGGTGGGAATAAGACTGAGAGCAGGAGGAAGAGATTATGTAAGCTGGTTTGAGGTTTTTTTTAAAATAAAGGATATAAATCAAATAATTTTTATTTTATTTTCTGGCATTGTCAGTCTTTTAGCTGTCAAAATTGTGTATAAAATCCATTTGTGTTGATCATGCATTAAATTTCAGGAAGCAGACAGATAATTTAAGAGGACATGTACATTGTTAAATAATAAATGAGTGCTCCAATATGAAGTTTATCCATACAATAGCCTCCTCCCAAAATGAGGCAACTGGTGGACATTGGCAAAACATATGGTTAAAAGAAGCATTAGCTGTGTTACACCTTTAGCAATTAGTTGACCTAGACAAACCCTTATTAAAGAGTTGTTGTGGTGTCTAGTAGGCATGGAACAAGAGTTTTACTGAATAAGGAGTAACTTAAGATTTGCACATATTGGGAAGTCCTTCTGTTGTCCCTGGGGTGCTTATGCTTGCTCTCTTCATGACAGGGGAGCAAACCTTTTCGTGTCATTTGGCCTTGTGATAGGTGGTTTCTTACACTGGCCAAAAACTGGTTAATTTTCATTCTGGGTAAGAACAACTCGGAGACTTGTTTATGCTGTGGATTTGTAATACAGTTTCCATTCCAGGGAGAGTTTTTGTTGTAAGTGCAGTGACTTGGAAGTCATATCCTGTGATGGTGAATCTGTTGGGGCTGGTGCAATTATCTGCACATGCTCAAAAGGTCTCTTTATTGTTTGCTAATTCTAAGATTCAGACCTTTAGTATTTGCAATGCTTTTTAATACTTTAGCCCTAGCGTACCCTTGCTCTACTAAACAGGCCAGGATTGGAAGGGAAGGCAGTTCACACCAAAGCAAGTCACTTGGTATAAAATTGCACAATGGAATAAAGGAAGAATAAGGCACAATGTCTGTGATGATGCTGACAATGGTGAATCCAGCCAGGAAACCCTCTGAGGCAATGGTTCAGCTAGCAGTATCTAGAGACACCCCAGAGCTATAGCACCATCTAGCTCCATTTACAATGGCATTTATAACTTCTTTTTGTTCTCTAAGTTGTTCTACCTTTCACTGATTACATCTAGGCTGTAAGCTTCTTGGGCCAGCAACCTGGCATTTGTGTGTAGTATTTTTAATGTATGAGCTTACAGATATTTTGGCCTACATCTCTCATAATCCTTCATATATGGACTGCTACAGGTTGCATACCCATTCATAAGGCACCAGGCACACAATAAATAAGAATGTAATCCTATAGAGATTTTAGTGGGAAAAGTCATACAGCTCCCAGCATTGTTGGCTGGAGTGCGCCAGGAGCTGTACAGATGTTTTTCCATCCAAATATGAAGGCTGCACCCATTATAAATAACAGGAAGACCTCCCTGCTCATTGTATAACATTCTTTATATTATTGCTAATGCCAGATTCCACTAAAACTTAACGGGGGGACAGGTTCTGGAAGGGACTGACTTTTAAGAAAGCAAAAACCTTTTCTGCCCTCTTAGATACTTAAAAAGTAAAGAAAAAGAGGCTGTAAATGTTGAGAAGGAGAGGGAAATGGCTGTAAGGGAAATGCATTAACACATGACATTAAATAAAGCCCTTCCTATTTGTGGCACAGTCAATAAGCGTTCTTTGCAAACACTGCAGTTTCTTTGGTTATACATAGCATGGCGCTAATCATCTCTTTTGTCTTTTCTGTATCCCAGCACTTTTTTATGCATGGGGCACAACTGTAATTAAGAGGTGCAGGATGAAAAGATGGCACAATCGGTGCTGGTACCCCCAGGACCTGACAGCTTCCGCTTTTTCACGAAAGAATCCTTGGCAGCTATTGAGCAACGCATCGCCGAGGAAAAAGCAACTAAGTCCAAACAAGAACGTAAAGACATTGATGACGATGAAAATGGACCCAAACCCAATAGTGACTTGGAGGCCGGCAAATCACTGCCCTTTATATATGGAGACATACCTCCGGGAATGGTGTCCGAGCCCTTGGAGGACCTGGACCCATACTACCTTAACAAAAAAGTGAGTGTTTGTCACCAGTGTAACAAAGCCCCATTGCAATTTGGTAGGTGAAAAATCCTACAGCCTTTCTGTGGAGTTCAATTTGGCCAGTACTTTGGAACACGACTAGCACGGTCACTGATCTGTCCCATAAGTAGCGATGGCCCCCGTTTATTCTTTCCATTAGCTCCCCCCATGCTGTGTTGTTCCCTACACGGTGTTGATTTGGGAGCAGCCTCAGTTGCACATGTAGCTATAAAGGGGAAATGGGAGTTGTAAGCACTGTATTCTCTCCACACAGTGGTGATTTGGAAGCATGTGAAACAAGTTTATTATTATATGCTTGGTGTTTTGTGGTAAGTGTGGCTTTACATTTTTTATTTTAAACCTGGGGAAATGATTGAAAAATTAATGAACAAAGGTTTTATTAACTTAGGCACTAGCAGCAAATCTGCAGGTTACAGTGTCAGTGTTTTTATGAGTAAGAGCAAAAATCTATGTGTGGTTCAACAAGAAAAAAGTCCCAAAACTTCCAGCCTTCCCCTGGGAATCCCCATTTCTGCCTAACCATACCCTAAACGTATTTAGCTACTGTCCTTTGGCCAATTTTCCTCTTAATCTCAGTAACAAAGGTGTCAACAAGGAGTGGGCAACTTGGCCTACTCCTCCCGTGAGCCCTCATCATGAACTATTAGGCTGATGGGAGGTGCAGAGCCAAAATGTCTGGAGGGTCCCAAGTTGTCCAACCCTGCCATAAACCCTGAATTCTAACCTGATCTATCATCAACTAAGCGGGTTGCTGTGGACTTGTAGCTTTAGCACTTACAATGAAGCAATGTGAAACTGTTATAGATGATGCTATTCCCAGTGTCCAGTTTCCACTGCTGGCTCTCATCAAAACAAACAAAACACCTCCCCTCCAGTTCTCAATAGTAGGTCCTTTTAGCTTCAGCTACAAAAATGTGTATGCTGGGGTGAGCAGCCCTGAATGACCTTCTCTTACGTAGTCTAAGAGAGATGAGAAATCTTAAAAAAACAGAAATTCTCAAAGCACAACAACAGTTACTTCCAACCAAAAAAAAAGGTGCAAAAGGCACCAGAGGAAGCCCTCATGGCTCTACAAAAAGTTAAAAGACAACTTGAAAGCAAAAAGGGCATGTACAGGAAGTGAAAGGGAGGCTGGACCACAAAATAAAGAGTATAAACAGTCAGCAAAGACTTGCAGGGATGGAGTCAGGATGGCTAAAAGTGGGTTATGTACTGAGACTAGTGAGACTTGCTAAAAACAACAAGGAAACCTCCTTCCGTTATGTCCAAAAGAAAAACAAACGAAAGGGGGGGAGTTAACAATTCAACAGGGATGGCTAAAAGGTACCAGATGACAAGGAAAAGGTAGAGGTGCTTAACTCATACTTCGGCTCAGTCTTCTCCTGCAATAGAAAATACACCCTGCTTACAGAGCAGGGAGTACATGACAAAAGGACAGGATGGCAGCCTAAGGTGTTGATTTGTAATGTTTTTAAGATTTTATGCTAGTAAATGCTGCTGCATTCATAATTTTAATATAAATGCTAGACATTGATATTAATTATATTTTAATTGATGTATGTTTTTTGGATCCTTTGTTTAATATTTATTTTGTTTGTTTTATTCTTCTTTGTTTTGCTTAATTTTGGTAGTTATTTATGAATTTTTACTGTTGTTGGCCTTATGGTAATTGTGAAGTTTATTGTGTTGCACATTGTACTGTTTATTATGTTGTATATATGGATTTTATCATGATGTAAGCTACCCAGAGAGCCTATAGCTAATGGGGCAGCATATAAATCAAATAAATAAATAAGGTCAACAGACAAATAGTCAAGGAGCACCTTGATGAGCTTAATGCATTCAAATCTCAAAGCTCTGATGAGATCCATCCTATAGTCATAAAGGAACTGGAGAAGGAATTTTCTGAACCACTATCTATAATCTTCAAGAAATCTTGGAGAACAAAGGAAGTGCCAGATGACTGGAGAAGAGGTGATGCTGTCCCCATCTACAAGAAAGGGGAAAAAGACAAACCAGGGAACTATAGACCAGTCAGTCTAACATCAGTCCCTGGGAAAATACTAGAACAAATTATTTTTTAAAAAAATCAGTCTGTAAGCACCTTGAAGAAAATGCAGCGATGAACAGACACTACACAGATTTTTGAAGAATAAGTCATGTCAAACTAACCTAATTTTATTTTTTGACTGGGTAACCACCCAAATGGACAGAGACAATGCCATGGACATAATTTACCTAGACTTTAGCAAAGTATTCAACAAAGTGCCCCACAACATCCTGACAATCTAGCAAAATGTGGGCTTGACAGAACTACTAGGTGAATGCACAACTGGCTAAAAATTGGTCACAGAGAGTCCACATTAATGGCATCTTCTCAAGCTGGAGAGAGGTAACTAGTGGGGTGACACAGAGCTCTGTCCTGGGACCAGTGCTCTTCAACATCTGTATTAATGATCTAAATAAGGAAGTCCAGGGGATGATAATTAAATTTGTAGATAACACAAAACTGTGCAGAATAGCTAACACCCTGGAAGACAAAAGAAAGATCCAAGTGACCTAGACAAGCTAGAACACTGGAGGAAAGCAAATAAAATTCAACACAGACAAATGCCTAGTTCTCCACATGGGATTGGGGAGGGAGTGACAAAGGCATCCATATAAGATGAGGAATACTTGGCTCCACAGCACTGAAAAAGAAAAAGACCTTGGAGTTGCCTGGGGCAATAAGTTAAATTAGAGCCAGCAATGTGATACAGCCATAAAAAGGGCAAACACTCTTTTGGGATGCATAAATAGAAGCATCACTTCCAGAGCAAGAGAGGTACTAGTTACCCTTTACCCTGCAGTAGTCAGACCTCACCTGGAATACTGTGTTCAGTTCTGGGCACCCAGGTTTTTAAAAAATGTAGAAAAACTAGAAAGGGTTCAGAGGAGGGCAACAAAGTTGACTCAGGGTCTGGAAACCAAATCCTATGATGAGAGGCTGAGAGAGCTGGGCATGTTTACCATCAAGAGGAGAAGACTACAAGAACATATGATAGCACTCTGCAAGTACCGTATTTTTCGCTCTATAAGACGCGCCTGACCATAAGACGCACCTAGTTTTTAGTGGAGGAAAACAGGAAAAAAATATTCTGAATCAAATGGGCACATAATCACAGGCACATTCCCCATCACTTCCCCATGGGCTGCACATCTGACAGACTTACTGCACACGCATATTCGCTCTATAAGACGCACAGACATTTCCCCTTAACTTTTGAGGAGGAAAAAAGTGTGTCTTATAGAGCAAAAAATACGGTACCTCAAAGGCTGTCACAAAGAGGAAGGAAAAGACCCCACTCATCCCTGAACACAGAATGACAAAATGCAGCTCATCAGATTCAGGATAGACACCAGGAAAAACTTCCTAATTGTCAGAGCAATATGACAGTGGAGCCAGTTACCAAGAGAGGATGTGAACCCTTCCCACACTAGAGACATTCAAGATGACAGTCATCTGAATGGGATGGTGTGACTTGGTGCCCTGTACTAGCACAGAGTTGGACCTGATGGCCTCCTTGGCCCCTTCCAGTCCCACTACTCTATGAATCTATAAGTCCAACTCAGTGAATGATTAATTTTGAAGATTAATCAGATTAATTTAAATTTGAAGAGTATGTCATCCAGTACTCATTCTGAATACAGTTACTTTACTAAGGGCAAGAAAGGGTAGGTGCAGTTGAAACCCAGATGAGGTTCCTAGCTACCTTTTCCAGAACCATTTTCTTCTAACCTGAAGGTCATCTGCTGAGACTCTTTTCCAGATGCCTCTTCTATGAGAGGTGTTACGCTGTGCCAGAGCAGAGGGGAGGGCCTTTTTGGCAGTGAAGCTTCAGGTCTGGAATGTCCTCTCTGGAGAGGTCCACCTGGCTCCTAAGTTACAGTCTTTTCAGTGGCAAGGGATTTTTTTTAAAGTTGTCAATTATCTCTTTTTACTATCATCAATTGTATCAAGAGGTAAATGATAGTATACTATCCTGGATTCCTCAAAGGATGCAGTGCATTTTATTAACATTTTACATAAAATATAAATGCTATGTTGGAGGTTTTGATAAAAATGATGAAAAAAATCAGAAGAGAAGGTTTGGACCTGGTCTAACGTTCTGGCTAGACAGATAACTTTCAGAGCACCCAAGTAAAGCATGGATTGTTGGCTTTCCCCCTGCTACTTGTCCCAAGCATCTATTATTCCAGTGTACACTTTCTGTACATGGTGTTTCTACTAACTCAGCCTTTTCCAAACCTGGAGTCTCAGATAGGTTTTGGAACTACAGTGCCTTTCTACAAACGATCAGAGGTGGTTAGGATTATAGTCCAGTAATACCTGGGGACTGCAAGGCTGGAAAAGTCCAGCACTAAGCTCTTGTCACTATCTTCCTAGAACCTGCCCGATCTACTTTTAAAGTTGTCTAAGCTGTTGGTTTTTGCTACCCCTTATAGTAGTGAATTTGGAAATTTGCACTATACAAAGAAATCACATTTATCTTCTATTAAAGTTGCCCTTCTGAAACTAGCTTTTAAATCATTGCTCAGACCACATATATTAACTAGCTGGTAGTAGTGTAGCGGCACCAGGGCTTGCAGGGATGTGGTACCAGGCCTTAATTTCTTTATTAGCAGGGTCGCCAATGTCATCTGCCACCCTGTTCAGACTGCCGTGTCCCCCTGAGCTTAGCTGCAGTTCTCACAGTAGCCGGGGAGGTGGAGGTGGAATGAATTTCCCCAGCGTCTATATACTTTTCCCTGTTGTAATGCAAAGTATTATGGCAATAAGATCCCTTTAGTCTTGCAAAAGGCCTGCTCCTGGTGGGGATGAAAGCTGGAAGTACTAGTTTGTTGAGTGGATCCAGACTGCCACCCACAGTTTTGGCCTATCCTTGGGAACATGTCTATAAGGATAGTCAAGACAAGGGCCTACACTTCCATGCTTACCACTTCACCACTGCAAATCAATCATAGTATTCAGCACCTTTCTCCACAATTTCCTGCCAAATTTGTGGTTCACAAATCTCCTTTCTAAGAGATGACTGGAGAAGAAAGCTGAAACTTCAGGGGGTTGGCACATCCAGGCAATTTCTTCCAGGGCTGCTGTCTGCAATCAGCATGGTTGGACACCTGCTGAAGCTGCTAGGAGGAGGCCCACAGCCAGTCCTGGAGCCTTGCAGTTCCACTGCTCCCCATTTCTGCCTGACTCTTGGAGAAGACATGAAGAGGCTGAGCAGTGGATGTTCATTGCTCACCTTGCACTGCCCCCTCAGGGCTGCTGTGCACCCAGGCCCCAAAGGAGGAGGGCAAGCATATTGGCAGAGGCAGGAGGAGGAGGAGGAGGAAGAGGCCGAGCTGCTGAGGACTAGGCCCCCGAAAGTCACCTTCAGGGCCATCCCACCCCGCAAAGTAGCCTGGAGCTGGTGCCACTTTCTCTTGTAAACTTTTCTGTAAGGATGCTTAGAAAATGAATGAGGGTGGCAGAACAGACTCCTCACACTGTCACAGAGTGCAAGGCCGGGGAAAGAGGCTGTGAAAACCCAGTGCAAACATTCAGCACTCAGAATAACAGCATAATCACAACTTCATGCACAGGGCATAATCCTGAGACTGCGATTTAAAAAGCAAAACAGAATAGAACATACTTGGTGCAGTACAGGCAGTTACCTCTGCTTCCAAGGCAGCCTCCGATGGTGATTGGGGATGATGGGAGCTGTAGTTCATACACCTTGTGGGTGTGATGCTGAGGAAAACCGCTCTAAGCCTGGAGAATGGGACAATCAGCTATTGTGTTCGCTGCCCCTATGGGCAGGGTGGACCTCTTTCCTTCACCACGGCTCCCCTGTTTTCATTAAATCAGAACAAAGCCAGCTCACCGGCCTACTCAGGGGGAAGGACAGTGCTTCTTGGTCTGTGGTGCAGCCGGCGAGCATCCAGAACAGAGAAAAGGGCACTCCTTTCGCCTCTCTCCCTGAGCAAAGGGAGTCGTGCTTGTCTTCCAAATACACACCTCATCCCAGACCTCAGAATGAGGCCCAGATGTCGACAGCTCTCTGTAATACAAAGGCAAGATTCTAGACTACAAATTTGACAAAAAGATTTATCTCAGAGGTTCTTCTTTCCTGCTTTCTAAACAAGAAGGCAATGTTTTCAAAAATGCAATTTCTATGAGCGGATTGTGAATAAAATAAAAATTATAATAGCTATGAATGGGTAAATGTTGAGAGAGCATAAGCAATTCATAAAAATGACTGAAACAGGAGGAACAAATGTATTAGCAACTGCCAAAGCCTGGCAAAGGAACATAACTTGCAATTTTGGCAGGCATAAAGGAAAACAGCTATTATAGTTATTCAAGGATCTACTTTCTTGTGGGTGAAAGACAAATATGTAAGTGCTTCTTAACGCAAGTGATACTAAAAAAAAAAGACATCCTCCTGGCTTGAGTTTGTGACATACCTTGAACTTGCATAGTTATAATAAATGAGACCTAACTATTCATATTTGCATGTAATAAATTGGAAGGAGATAGCTTTTAAAACATGACAGACTATGCCTTCCTTCCCTTTCCTGTTCAAAATACAGACTAATTCCATGACTAATTCTAAGGAAGATTTAAAGTTTTATATGCAGCTTGAGAGAAGTCAGTGAAACAATTGCACCCTAATGAATCAAATATGACTCTGCGATAGGATGTAGGCAGCAATTGCAAACTCATTCACTAGTAAATGCCACTAAATGCAACTCGAGAAAAATGCAGTGGGAGTTACTTCTAAGTAAACCTGCATAGGGTTGCACTGCTAAGCATACTGAACCCTTAGCTGCCTCATGTGGTTATGGCAGGACAGATGTCATGCAGGCAGCCACACAGACAGGCCCAGTTGGATACCCAAGGCCAGCTCTTATATGGAGCCTCTTGGTAGGCCAATGCTCTGCACTGTCTTGGTCAGGCAGTGAGGAGAATCTAAATATTTATTTGTACACTTATTTATAGGCTGCCTATAATTGCTGAGGCCTTCCTGTATTTATAGTCTATAACCGCTTCCACCCTTGATCACATATCTGGAGAAATAGGAAAACCACAGAATTCTCCTCACAAGTTGTCAGGGAAATTAAGAGAAACAACTGCTTAGGTAGCTGGATGCGACTTACTTGCAATGGTTGTGCTGTATCCACCTCAGCTCAAGGGTTGAGATGTGGGGAATTTTGCCACACCACTTGGCAGCCTGCTATCAGTCATCAACCCTTGAAGTCAGGAATGGAGGAAGCTGCTTTACTAAGTCAGATGACGGATCCATCCGGCTTAGGACGGTCCACACCGATTGGCGATGACTCAGTAAGGTTTCAGATGAGGGCCTTTCCCAGCCCTGTCTGGAGATGCCAAGAGTTCCATGTAGGATTGCTTCATTATTTTGCAGGCAAAGCAGGTGCCCCATCACTGGGCTAAAGCCCTGGATCAGCCAACACATAATTCTACACAGTAGAGCAGAAAATAAATTTCCAGATATTTTGGACTTCCACTCCCAGAATTCTTGACCATTGTTCAGTGGATAGGGGCTTCTGGGAGTCAAAGTGAAACCATCTGGAAATCAGCCTTCTGCCTACACCTGCATTAAATAACAGGTCTAACCTTCATTCTGTTCTCTCTTCTGTATAGGCAACTTACCCTTTTAAATTTCATCTTAATAAGGAACACAACCACAGCTCTCCTTGTCATGTGGTGGTGAAAGAGAAGCCGTATTCTGAGCTCTGAGGAGTTTTACAGGTGCTCAGAACTGGGACCAGAGAACAGTTCATGATGCAAGTTTCCCAGAGCATTTCTCTTGTACTGCAAGAGTGCAGTTTGTCTCGTGCTTAATGTAGCCCTCTAGAAAAGGGAGGTTGCTTAGACAACCTGCTCCATTTGGTGTGGAGTATACCAAAGGCAGCCCAGGGTGATCATTGGTCTTTTGAATTCAGAGGACACTTTGCAAAATTGGGTGTGAATACTTCCTTGCAAATGTATGTAGTCTGTATGTCAGTGAGTTAAGATGTGCCCATGAACAGCTGGGGAAGAAGGGAAGGTGAATAAGAAACATCTATTGTGTGAATAGATGCTGCCCATGAACAGCTCTTCTGTGATTTCCAAGATGTTTTGGGTGGTAAAAATTGTGGGTTCACACCCAGCCAGTTGTATCAATTGCCCTTCCTCTTCCTGACCATCTCTGCTCCCAGGGCCAGAGTAAGAGGCAGGTAATTTGGCTGCCAGCCAGAGTCTCCTGTTTGCTAACAAGTGGGAAGAGCTCTGTGCAAAAGTATAAAGTGCCAAGTTGGTTGTATGCATAAGAGGAAGTCTTGAGAATGAGCCCCAACCAGCACAGAGCTGTTCAAATAGCTCTCTGGAAACCACAGTACTGAGTAAAGTGGACTAAAAAGAATCATGTGTTCATATTCATGTGTGTGCTTTGTTCTCCAATTGGGTCTTCTTATTTGTATAAGTGGTAGAGCTCAAGTGGTATTGAAGTCAGCCTTGCATGCCCTAAATCCCACATTTTCTCCATTCTGTCTTCCTTTCTTTTCCAGACATTTATAGTATTGAATAAAGGGAAGGCAATCTTCCGATTCAGTGCCACTTCTGCTGTGTATTTGTTAACTCCTTTCAACCCTGTTAGAAAAATAGCTATTAAAATTTTGGTACATTCATATCCTTTTCCAGTGGTTGGTGCATTGTGAGTGAAATAACACTTTCAATAATTTGATTATTTGCATGGGCCCCAAGGACTGCTTTGCGGCTGGCCACCCTAAGCTTTCCTACATGAGGCATTTATTGTGCATTTATGATTCCTTACCCTTAGTTGTTTACAGGCTGTTGAGAGGATGACATGATCCTCCAGTTTTCTTGCTGTTTTTTCACAGCAATTTTCCCAGTTGTTTTAGGACAGGAAAATGGGGTGTTATTATAGAACAGGGGCTGTTTCTCCTGGAGTATGTGAGCTTTTCCAACCTAGCACAGCTCCCCCTAGAGTTTATGTAGCAGAAAAGCAGGGAAGGAAAGCTTTTTGTGCAGTTCTGACTTTTACAAAACCAAGAGTAGAAACAGCAATTAACAGCTCTTCCATGCAGTCTGCAGCTGCAGGAGAAATGGGTGCTCTGTGTGCCTCATTCTCAATTCATGGGGAACAGTGGTGAGGCCTATCGGTGCCCACATAAATGGAGGGTGCCCCATGAAACAGGCACCACAATCTTCTGCAGTGTGCAGAGGTGCCACAGTGTGTTAAGGGTTTTGCATATATAATTCCTCTCAGAGGAATTACACTGAAACAGCGACACTGCACACGTGAAACCTTGGTGGTCCAGACATAACACAACTGTTAGGCAGAGAAATTCAGCTCTGTTGTGTCACAGAGGAGGCCTCTACCTGGATCTACTCCTCCTCAGCCTCTGGGGAGAGGAAGGTTGTAGAACACAAGTGCTTGGTAGCCAGCAGCTTTGTGTGTGGTCATTGATAAAGGGCAGTCCTCAAAGACTTGCGTTGAGGCTCAGGACTGTCACTTCTGACGGCCTTCTGGAAAAATGTTGCTCACGTTCCTTGCATCAGTGTATCTGTGTGTGTGTGTGTGAGTGCATGTACACACACGATACAAGCACTCTGCATATCGACACAGTTTTTCTTCGTATATGTGCAGATTTTTCATGTTAGAAATTACCAGACTAAAAAGCTGACGTGATTTAGGAACTTTCCTCTGGATCTCCAGTGATAACATTTTAATTGATACTCTTGGAAAAATATGAAAAAAGCTTGCAACCCAGCTTCTTGGTTATGAAAATGTAGAGTTACTGTAGTGCAGAGGCTAAATGTCTGGATGTAGGTAGAACAAATTTAGATTTCCACTCAGCTCGGTTTCTCTAAGTATGGTGAATATTGCAGGTTACATGGTGACGTATGTTGCTGAGGTTAAAATGCCACTGTTGGGAGAAAGTCTGAGGTAAATAGTGATAAACAGAAGGTTTTCATAATCAGATTTTCCTTTGTTAAAGGCATCATGCAACAGGGTAAGCCAAAATGTTAGAGGGTAACAAATATGCTTGACAGGAAATATAGGCCTGCTTGTTCAACTTGCATATACAATGTCAAGAATATAATTTCTGTTTTTCCCTTATCCCAGAAGTTCAGTGGGACTTACTCCTAGGTAAAGTGTGTACAAATAGGCTTGCAGCCAATTTGACACAGGTTTCATTTTCAAAGCTACTTTTAAAAGTGTAGATCTATCCAGGTCTAGTCAGAAAAACTCCTAGCACTCCCAGCATGCTGAGAGTTTTAGCATGCTTTTTTTCTGTCTAGATACACCCAGGAAAGAGCCTTACATATATTTCCTCTTGGACTCTGCAGCTTCATTCCACTCTATGCTGATCGAATTCAAGGTATTGCTTGAGGAGCAATGCTGCTAACTTCTTGTGGCAACTGGAACAAGGGGTAGATGCCAGGATTCTCTTACTGGAGGGAGTGGAGATGTTGTGCCTGTTCCAATCATTCCTTCCCAATAAATAACCAGAAGAAACCTGGCTATTTTAATCCATGTTCCCAGGCACAAGTACCAATGATACCTTTCTTCTCAAGAATCATCACACTGAAAGCACTGGCCAAAATCGAAGTGGCGTGCTGTATTTTTATCTCCAATGCTAAACAGGGCCTGGATCTGCCCTGGGAGTCACCTCTGCACTCCTCTGAGCTTCCTGCAGGAAGGGTGTGATACAAATGAAAGATTCAGGGCCCTTCAGGTGAAGTAGTTGTAAACAACTCTTAGTTTCTGGTGCCATCCTGTGGCCATTGAATGCCAATCATTTCCACTGCTTGCAAAGCAAGTTTTGTGTAGGTGTGCCTTTAAGTTTTGTACTTCTTGAATGATGGAAAGGGGGAAAATGATTATGATAGGGAGTGGAACAAGCATTCTCATTAGTGATATAAAGCCAGAATCATTTTCAGGTTGGGGACTTATTTAGTCTTGTTCCCATGATCCACATGAGCAAGTTTCCCCTCCCTGGAAGGAATGCAGATTTCCCATATACTGCAACTAATTTCAGCCTCCATTGATGATTTGCAAGCAATAGTGTCAAAACCACTCAGATGTTTAGTTCTGTCTCTCCAAAGTGGCAAGAGTTCTTAGCTCAGGTCTTCTCCATGTGAGGCTTTCAATCTGCCACTTACCAAGGGGGCTGCTTCTAGATGCTTTGCAGTATTAAGATGAGCTCCTTAACAGTTGGGTTTTTTCCTTAGGGAGGAAGAGTTTTCTTTTTCTGCCTTTCTACATATTCCATAGCACAATCATAAGATGGAGAGGAATTGCACAGCTTTTCAAAGTGTACTCTATAGGTAATATCGGACTGTTCTTTGTGTTAAAAAAAAAGCTGCAGAAAAGTTTGCAAAGCACAGGAGAAACTCTGGATGAGAATGACATAATGAAAAGTGATTGTAAATTACTCTGAGTGAACATGGGTGCAAAATAAATGCCTTATGTAGAAAAACGAGGAGTGTCTGGAACCCAGGTGGCAACCTCAGGCTTAGGGTCCCAGGCCAGCCTCTTTGGGTTTCACTTTGGCTCTCTGTGTCTTCCCCAGAAAACCGTGCCCCCTCCCCTGGCCCTACCCCTTTCTCTCAGCCACCCACTGTTGGGTGGCCTCCTGCCTTTTGTGCTTTTTTCCCACTTAAAAAAACTCTCCAAAGTCCCAGGTAATTCCAGTAAGAGCTTCACACTTAAAATAGGCCAACATGTTCCAGTTTTTGGCCCCCCCACCTTTCACTTTCAATGAAAGTGAAACCCAATGCTGAAAGATAGTTCCCAAGAACTTGTCCAAAACAGAATTCATTTCTTGGGATGAAAGATGTTCCTCACCACTGATTCTAAAGAAATGATGACAAAAGATAAGTTCATAGAAAGTGGCTTTGCACCTAGCCAAACCTTTAGGGGTCAATTCTATACATGTTTGGACAGGAAAAAATCCTGTAACTCCCAGCATGCCCCAGGCAACCTGACTGAGGCATGCTGGGAATTGCAGGACTTCTTTCCTGTCTAAATAAATATTCATTGGACTGTGTGTCCTTTGTGGTCCAATTCAGTACTGTCCACAACACCACCTTGGTATGGGATCACCTGGGTTTCAGATATAAGTCTTTCTCAGCCTTACCTGGAGATGCCAGGGACTGACCTGGGGACAATTTTCCTGTGCTCTGCCTCTGAGCTTTGGCCCCTCATAATTTTTGCAAAAAGCCTCTTACTTTCAAAAGTTCCCACCCCTCAGCCAGTGCAAACAAGACAAAATTTCAATCTGCACTGGAACCTAATTTCCAGTTGGCATTATGTATTCAAGATTATTATTTGTAAATAATAATATGTTTTTGTAAATGGTAGTTACCAAAGTGTTGATTTACCCCAACGGGTCTGTGGCTAACCACTACATTTTCCACTTATTGTGTAGTATCATCCTTAAGCATCCTTTTGAAGTTCCAGTTGCCAGTTAGTTTGCAAAGCATATGAGTGGTTGAAACTGGACATTACTGTTCATGTTCTTGTTAACTTGCATTTGTATCCATTATATGGAAAATCCATATCTGACTTTTTACTCTTTTCAAAAGGAAAATGGCATTCTGCATTTTAAAAATGACATTTAAAAATATTTCAGTTTATTTGAATGCCCACCTGTTCTTTTTAATTTTAGACTGACATATAGGTTTGAAAGGTTCTCTGAATATCTTGGAAATAGAGCGAAGTTTAAACTTACTAGAAGTAAGCCAGAAGGGTTTGTTGATGTGACAGTTCTTCTTAGACTCTGTTTTCAAATATATATTCCTTAACCTTAGCATACTTTATTCAGCATGCTTATTATGTGCACTATTTTAACCAACTGTGTATTTATGACCATGAGTAACCCTCCGGAATGGACAAAGAATGTAGAGTAAGTCAATTTTAATTACCTTTCAGTGTGTTAATGAATATGTCATGTTTGTCTCTACATGTGGCCATGCAAGTGACATGTTCTGATGGAAAGCAATCTCTGACATGAGTTCTTACATTTTATAAACCGGGATGATAATGTGCTTGGAATATGAAGATGAGCGTACATGTAAAATATTTGTTTTGTGCTAAACTTCCTCAGCGAGGTCCTTCTGGAAGCTTTGGGACTGTCAGTTCCCAACATTCTTGAGTACTGGGTGCAATAGCTGGGCATAATGGGACCTAAATTTCAAAACTGGTATTAGGTTATGCCTAAAACATGCTGTTGCACTTGGACCCTGTGGACAGTTTCTAAATTCTGTTCTGTATCCTCCAGTGTATTCTGCATTCAAAGTTTGTTCCTGTTGCTTTGGAATATCAATCCTTGCAGCTGGCCATCCAACCTTGCACATTGGTTCACTCCATTTCTCTGTTAATTTTTCTAGGGATGTGTGTGTTTGTGTGGTAGGCATGCTAAGGACAATTATCCATTGAGGAGACAAACGAAGAAAGCTAACTAGCCGCTTCTCCCTTTCTGTTTGATTTGGGTCCCTTCTAGCTTTGTGTGTGGGGGAGGGGGCTGGGCATAATGAGCCTGGGTGTAATAATCTGTAGATCAATGCTGACTCATATCTGCTTTTTGTGGCTCTGGGTTATCATCCGTAGAAGGAACTCAGACCTTCTCCCCCAGAACACAACAGGGGAGTCTTCCCTTTATCAGTTATTAAAGCCATGGTGCCCCGGGGTACATACAGGCAGCCATTTTTAATATCAGAGCTGCCACCACAGCTTGTCACAGCTGCTGAACCTGGCAGCACTTGGGTCAGGGATAAGGTTAACAAATCACCCGCAACCCTAAAAGAGCCTGTGGGATGAGTTAAATAAGCCACAGCAGGCATTTTTAGCATGTTCTAGCATCTTCCCTCCCCCATCCTGTTGTTGTTTTAATTGTGCATATTGTATTGAAATAATTATTGTTTGTTTTATGTTAACTTTCACCCTGATATTTTCCTCAGATACACATTCACTGGAATTTATACCTTTGAATCACTAATAAAAATTCTTGCAAGGGGCTTCTGTTTAGAAGGTTTCACTTTTCTCCGGGATCCCTGGAACTGGCTTGACTTCACGGTCATTACGTTTGCGTAAGTATTTTTTTACAGTGTTGAATAAGGCTTGTTCGTTGATAGTTACCTCAGATGGACATTTTTGCTTGGCAGACAGAACCTGTGGGAAGAGTTTCCAGTTATAATAAATATACTTTTTTATTACTAGTATTATTTATTTTTACCACCTCCAAAATAAGCCTCTGCTGCAGAATCAGAGTTGTATGTCTGCAACTTAATTGGGCGAGTCTTAAAATAAGCTAAAATCAGCTAATTTTATATTTTGTCATCTTTCCGTTCACCAAAATGGAAGCAAGCTCTCAAGTTTCCAAATTGGTTGGGATTTTAATTTTAAAAAGTTGTTTGCTCACTGACATTTAAATTTAATATGAAGGTCAGGAAAGCGTATTAATAAACACAAGGAAATTGCAGCAAAAAGGGAAGAGGTTTTGATGAAAGACCCCGAGTGATTAGCTTCAGCTCTGCCTCAATTCTGAATAACTGTGATTTAA